TATATCCAAAATAAAGTGGTTAACTTTTGCTTTCCAGGGGTATATATGTGTGTAGTCTCATTATTGTGTCCTAGGTGAATAATATACAGTCAGCAGCGCGTAGAGAAAGCCAAAAAATGGTTCGAAAGTGGAAGTAGGAATGGGTGTGGTTCTGAGTGTGGGTGTGGGGTCTGATGAGAAGAATGAGCAACACCCACACCCACATCAAAGTGCAGCATCGTTAGGTTTTTCTTTGAAATGTTTTACGAAAACGATTTCTTTAGAAATCATCTTACAGTACAAAGTGTCAGATGAGTTATTGAAAATACAGAAATGTCTTCTTTTTCTTGGCCAGAAATTAGCTATTAGGTTTAACTCAAAAACGTAAACCATATCGTTGATTATGATCATCAGAAATCAAGCATGAATTTTACAGGGTGTTGGTGTGATAGAGAATAAAATTATGTTTAATTCTTAACCTTCAAATTTTATAAACAAACAATGATTTTTAATGTTTTATTTTATAAAAATCAATCAAAACACAAGCAAAGTGTTGGCCAAGTTGTTAAACCTAAATAAAAAACTTATCGAATAAAAAACATTAAAATTGAAGTATCACATCGATTAACATTGATATTAATATCATCCCAAGATAAAATGAAAGCTTTTTCATAAATTACCTATATGATCATTTAATTTTTTATAATTTTTTTAATATTTTAGAACTGAAATTAAGATCTTACTGTGAATATAATAAATAACTATTAAAAATTAAAATTGATCAAAATAATTTTCGTAATCTTCAATTGTAACCTTCAAAAAAAAATATGTTAATGTTAATCGAAATAAGATGTGAAAAAATGATTTCATAATCCTGAATAAAAGTAGCAATAACATCGAATTATTAATCATTTTCAATAAAAAGAATATTTTGATCATAAGTTTGTTGACGTTAAAGAGCAAATTTTTTTTTCAAATAGAAATTCAATTATTCACATAAAATATCTATGAAATTTGTTAACTAGATTTTCCTTATGTAATCAAAGTTTTTTTAAAGTTTAAATAATTTAAGAATTGTTTCATGAATATATAAAGAAAGATATTTATTCTTTTTATTTTCTTACGAGGTATTAATATTAATGCACATTTAAAAAAACAGCAAGCCTGATAAGTATCTTCCGAAAGACTCAAGTTATTTTTGACCATCAATGTTAACATAACCTTTCCTTTTTTTCTATTCTTTATCTCTATTTCAAGATATGCAATGCATGAGTTATTACTCAAATTGACGGCGAATGTATTGTTTTTATACACCGTTTCATTCAATCATCGTTCGTTTTGCTACAATGGCGAGTGCACGACATGCAAGTTATCTTTACACATACGAGATGAAAACACAGCCGAATTGAACATGAAATGTTTAAAGACGACAAAGATATCGTGCACTCAATATTCCATTGCTTGACAAACACCGGTCGTTATCATGCGCTGCGTATTATCATTCCGTTACGTCGACGTCGTCTTTCATCGCGTCTTTCCGTTTTCATACCTTTTCTTTCTTCCGTTTCTACTTCTTCTTGTTCTTCGTAACAGAAGAATAAAAATAATTTTCTAACTAATGGAGCTTTTGAGGGTGGCTCTAAAATAAATGAACCTTCCCAGGGATATCCGACGTTCTGTTGGTGAGCCGTGCAGGTGGTAGGCCTTCATAGCATACATCAATGTATGTATGAATAGAAGCGTCCATTTCGTCATCGTCTTTTCGAAGATGATGATCATGATTGTACTAGTCATGCGTACATCGATGTATGTTTGCCTAACCATTGCCGGCTTTGTCCACTGTACGAGCCAGCAGAATACGGAGGGTATCTCTGGTCGCGCGTGCGCGAAATGTTGCAGCTGCTAGCTTCGGCGAGCTTTGGGTCCAAGAAGGCCAAATTATTTTCTCTTTAAGAATGAAAAAAAAACAACTACATTTTCTTTTTTACATCTTGAATGTTTCTTTTCGACTTCGCAATGTCGGGATGATTGGACGGAAGTGATTTCTGTCGTATCTCAAGTCCTTTTTGCAGAAATGAGAGTGCTTTCGAGTACTCGCCCATGTTCTCATACATCATACCGATGTTGTTGTAGGGCAGGGCCAAGTTCGGATGGCTTGGAGGAAGAGATTTCTTTGCGATTTCAAGTGATCGTTCATACGATGAAAGTGCTTTTGAGTACTCGCCCATGTTCTCATACACCATACCGATGTTGTTGTAAGATTGAGCGAAGTAGGGATGGTTCGGACGGAGAGCTATTTTACGGATTTCAAGTGATCGCTCATACGATGAAAGTGCTTTCGGGTACTCGCCCATTTCTTCATACACTATACTGATGTTGTTGTAGGAAGTAGCCAAGTCGGGATGATTCGGAGGGAGAGCTATTTTCTTGATTTCAAGTGATCGTTCGTGCGATGAAAGTGCTTTCGAGTCACTTCTCTTTTCGTCTTCATCCGAGTTAGACGCATCGCAATTTTGCTTACATTCCTTTGTAAGTGCTATTATCTTTCCATCGGAGTGAGGTAATTGACACACGATGGAAACTAATAATCACTACTATTCAAGTGGTGAACAAAGATACGTAGGAAATGAACGGTCTCTGATTAATAACTCATACAATCAGCAGATAAATTTACAAGAAGCTTCCAATATGGAATCAGGTCATAATGATGGTCTTGGTGTACAACGAGAATACATTGTAAATGCATTGGCAAACGATGAATCATTGCTAAATGATTTCTTACAATTTCGTCAACAACAACAAGCACAATGTCGAATTCAAAAACCAGGACACAATGTATCACCGTACTATGAAAAGGTTTCGTCAAATAAACCA